CAGTGCAAAGTTTTGTTTTGCACAGCCTTTATTTTAGCATCAATAAATCCTATGGAGGCATTTGGGGCTCTTTGCAAAGCTCTATCCAACATTGCCATAATTCTTTCAGCCTCCATATTATGAACCGGGGCGGAAGATGTCCTTGCTATCATTTCTTCAGATGGATTAGACAAGGCCCCTGCAAAATATGGCTTAAACTGCTGTTGCAATGTTTTAATAAACGCAGATGATACATTTTTTGCTACTATACTGTAATCTTTAGTAGAATGGTGAAGCTTGGTTAACTCAGACTCCTCCATGTCCCTGTCAAACGCATCAGTTACAGCATGGATCAAGTATTCCGGAGTCTTCTCCACTGACGTGAGATGGCCAAGACATGATGTTATCTCTTTTACCTGGTTGAAAAGAGTGATAAAGAAATATTGTTAAAAAAATTTTTTTATAACAATACACATCTACACTAGTACCCTAATAAACCTGTAAAATAAGCAAATCATATGAAAACACTAGGACAGAGGGAAAGATTGCTGAATCAAGACAAAAACTGAAGCAAGACAAACAAATTGTATCATCCAACTAGCCCCCAGCGAGGGGCCGACAAAAAAATTAACCACAAGCAAATTCTTACTGCTTCGAAGTGTCCTCTTCCATCCTCCTTTGAGTAAAATATCTGCATCCATGGTCCTGTGAGGAAGCGGGAGTACATGCCCATTACTTGCAAGTGTAGAAGGACACTCGGATCAGTCAGGCCTTCATAAATTTTTGCGCACACAAACTTTCCCAGCCTGCATTTTACAAACTCTGTCAGCTGGACTCGATGCAGGTATATCACCGCTGCCATACTGAACATGACATTCAAACGGTTCCCAACATAGCGTTTGAAGATACCGGGATTGATATTCTTCGTCTTCAAAAAGGCTGTGAATGCAGCTGGATCACCAGACCCATCTTTGTACCTGGGAAAAAAAAATTAAAAACGTCTTGTTATGTGCATGATTATGTGATTTACTGCAGGCATTAAAATGAAAATTACATTATTTTTAGTATGATTTCCAGATTATCACTACGCTCCATATATGATGATATATCTACCTGTTGTCAAACTGCCAAATACATGTATGTTGAATAATCTGCCACAGACATGAAAAAAATGATATAAAATAGATGTCATGAGACAGGACTTGCTACACAATGATAAAAACTGACTAAACATTACCTCAGTTTGGATACTTGATGAATCAGTGTTGCGGCCCGGCAGCCCAAGGAGGATTTCTGACCATCTTGGTCTGTCTTAGTATCCAGCTTACGCAGAGCTTCACGAGCTGATCTGGCAAGGCCGTCTAATGGGTGCACCATACATTTTAAATCGGCCACGTCTCCGTCTCCACAGTCCTCTTTGAGTCGTTCAGATACTCGGTGGTTTGCAGCAGCTCTGTCGCTCATGGTGCTGTGCAGTTTGCTTTTCACTTCTTCCAGGATGGCTGTTGCGGGTAACTGGAAGGCGGCACAGTAGATCTCGCAGACATCAGATAAGGCTTCCATTGCATGCTGGTACAGCTCCTCTGCTGATGAACCTGAAATGGGTCTAATATTGAGAGTTAATGATTGCCTACCTAGTATTGTTTTGAGGGACACATGAACTTCGTTATAATGTATACCTGCCTTTGTTGTGGAATCCCAGGCTAATGTGATGAGATCGCACTCGTGCAGCATCTGGCCAGCTTGAATGCTAGCAAGCACCCCGAGTTCGTAAGCCATCTGTGCTATTGTAGTCACACATGGAATCTGAGAAAAAACTTTACCAAAAATTATCCCTGCAACAGAAGACAACAAACGAGAAATATTCCCAACACTAACATTACACATTAAAAAGTCATAAACACACTGCCTAAATCTATAATCATACTTCCCTGCCTCTTTTGTTGTAACAATGTTGTCACTGTCTTCACTGTCTTCCTTAGAATCTGCCTGTTCCACTGCTTCGTTTTCCCAGTATTTACTTCGATCTGTCTCCTCTTGCAGTCTGGTTTTTACATAGTCTAATTCACTGCTAATCTTCTTTTGGATTTCACAAAACTGTTCTTTCGATTGCTTGTTCCTCTTTTCCAAATCAGTGATTTTTTTCTCAGATTGCTTCAGTTTGCTTTCTAATATTCCTTTGGCAATTGTCAGTTCCTTTATTTCTTCCTCGTGTTTTGCTTTAATTGACATTTCCTTTTTCCTGTGCCGCATTTCCTGTTCTTGGAACTGTTTGTTCAAATTTGAATGTTTGACTCTCCAAAGTTCAGCTGATGCCGATTTCCTCTTTATTGTCAAATTCAATGTTTTCAGTGACATCTGTTTCTTTTCCTCTCTATGTCGAATTCTAAGTGCTCTTATCTGCAAACGCAAGTGCCTGTTCTCCTTCAGCATGTTCAGACTTGTCCGTTGCTTAGCTACACAGTTGTCACAGTCTTTTTTTAAACGCTTTGGTGATGGTGACCTGGAGATCAGTGAAACAGAAAATGAAACATTATGATTATGAATGGAGTTAAAGGGTAACTCGTCAATCCATGGTGTTGCAGAAGTGTGTTGCGCATGATCAGTTGTATGGTCAGCTGGTGTCACAGGTGTGAGTGGTGGGGATGAATGATCAGTTGGCTGAATTAGTGGTGGGGATGAATGATCAGTTTGTATGAGTGGTGCACATGTATGGTCAGGCTGCACAACTGATGTAGATGTTGCAGAAGAAGAACTTAATGATTCTCCAGACAAAAAGGATACAAAAAATGGCTGCTGGTTAAAACTGATGAGATCAGCCCACTGCTTGGTGTAATTCATTTTTTTGGCAGCATTTCTTTTAATATCATTTATACACGCCTTCACTCTCCCCTCATGTATCTGCTTGTCTGGTTCAGCTACCTGCACCATGCCCTTGATCATCCTGCAAATATCTACAGTTGTCAATTTCTCATTTACAATCAGTCGGGCTATATAGCCTTTCTTAACTGGGTACTCTGGCTCAAAGGATGACAGATATGCTCTCATATCAGAAGCTGTTTTTATTTTCCATGGTGAGCTGTGTAAGAAAGTAATATTTATATAAGCATATTATATGCGTATGCAACATCATATGGGAAAAGGGAGGGGGGTGGTGTAATATTGTAATAGTAATTACATTGTTTTTACATCTATTAACTGTATGTGTCACATAGTGTGTAGTATATTTTATATATATAATTAAATATATGTATTGTATGTATGTATTATTGTACTATACTATATATATATATATATATATATATATATATATATATATATATATATATATATATATATATATATAATAAATAATAAATTCATTAAATTATAATAATTATATCATGTATCATTTAAAATATTTATTTAAAAAAAATTTCAAATTTAATAATTAAATACTATAACATAACTATAAAAATATTGATAATGCATTATCTGTATTAAGAATAAATATAACTTCTTAAAATAAATACCACATAAAAGACAGCTGTTGTTATGGTAACTGCAGTAACGCCTTCCACAAAAGTAACAAAATGGCCTTTTCCTTTTTCGCCTCAGATAGTCTGATTTAATTAAAAACCATTTCTGTATATCTCCCCTATCACGTCGTTGGGTGTAAACTGACTAAATAGACTTAATTATGGATGATAAAAATACATTTCACAGTTTTAATCAGTTTTAAGAGCCTACAAAATAACTGTATATTAAATAACTACCGATAATTAAAACACGCTGAAGGCTTATTCTAAAGCAACAAGATGGACGCCAATTTCTTCACCCACGATGGTTTCAGGATCGCATCTTGAAAATCCCACTGCAAATCACCCCCATAGAATATACTAATAAAATTTTACAAACTAAAGTTAAATTGGACAGAGAATCGAATAATTACAAGAATATTACGTTTAAATGCGTTGAACGCTATCAAATAATGTGGCTACTTACCGCTATATATTCAAACACGATCGGCAGTAGCAAAACACGATCAAATGCTTTCAGACCACGAGGAATGTGAAAGTCAACCAATTTGCTTTGACTTGGGCTATATATAGCTCGTCGGAATCCCCGAGGTTTCCCGAATGTGTATAACGAATCATCATCGTGAAAAAATTCACCGACAACTTACGGACATTGTTATGGGTAGCAACCCAGCCCGTTCCGTTTCCGGAAGTGCCCGATCGATCGAAGAAAACGTAGTACCTACTTTAGTCACCGCCGAGAGTATCCCCCAAGCCGCGTGGATTAGGGCTAAACTAGTTTACTAGATGGCTGGGACTCATGAGCAGCAGCTACCGCATTTCCTGCAGCTGCCATGATTTTATTTGCTTGTGAGTTCCAGCCATCTAGTTTAGCCTTAGCTCCTGTCCACACCGCATGGGGAATACATTCGGCGGTGGCGTATAGTCTCCGGAAGTGTGCAAATGACATGTGACTGAGGCTCTGTTAGAGTACATTTTCTGCCACTATAATTTGAGACTGTTATTCGGAAGATAGCCCAAAGTTCTTTTGTTGTATGGGATTATGCATTAGACAAAGAGAAAACAACCTCAGTTTTTTTTAACAGTAATTTTGTTGACATCATTATAAGTTTATATGGTGTATTATGTAAATGAATAATGCATAAGTAAGTATCATTCATTAGGTATGATGGTATATGTTTTATAGACTGTTTGGCAGTTAAATGTGGCCAACATCATGCCAGTCGCCTTTAGATTTTCGTCACCTCGAAGATTCAAAATGCAAAACTTTGAGACTTGCTGTCAAGCTGTAGCCACTGTGATCATGACTTCCTGTAGAAACTTAAGCGATGATACAACTCTGCCAGAACATTTGCATTTCTCTGGTTGTTTTACATTTCAGGTAACTTAAGCTGACCAATAAAGATATTGACGAGTGGAGACTTGTGATTCATCATCAGTTTGTTGGGCTTTTGTTGACGAGTTAACCGCAGCGTTTGTTGCCGACAGCAGGGTAGTCCCACGATGGTCAAGGAGACGGGATACTATGATATACTAGAGGTGAAGCCCACAGCCACAGATGCCGAGTTAAAAAAGGCGTACAGGAAGCTTGCTCTCAAATACCACCCAGACAAAAATCCTGATGCAGGTGACAAGGTGGGTCATGTGCTGTCTCAAATCTAATTATGTTTGAATATATAATTTTCAGTATCACTTATGTTAATTAGTCCTCCCATCAGGTAGATTCTTTCTGTACCCCTGTCATATCCCCTTGATTTGAAGGACTAAAAACCCACCTCTTTCTCTCTCTCTCTCTCTCTCTCTCTCTCTCTCTCTCTCTCTCTCTCTCTCTCTCTCTCTCTCTCTCTCTCTCTCTCTCTCTCTCGACTTAACTCAGACTGGGTTCTGATGTGATCATGACTAGACATAATAACTCAGACTGGGTTCTGATGTGATCACGACTAGACGTAGTAACAGACTGGGTTCTGATGTGATCACGACTAGACGTGGGTTCTGGTGTGATCACGACTAGACGTAGTAACAGACTGGGTTCTGGTGTGATCACGACTAGACGTAGTAACAGACTGGGTTCTGGTGTGATCACGACTAGACGTAGTAACAGACTGGGTTCTGGTGTGATCACGACTAGACGTAGTAACAGACTGGGTTCTGGTGTGATCACGACTAGACGTAGTAACAGACTGGGTTCTGGTGTGATCACGACTAGACGTAGTAACAGACTGGGTTCTGATGTGATCACGACTAGACGTAGTAACAGACTGGGTTCTGGTGTGATCATGACTAGACGTAGTAACAGACTGGGTTCTGATGTGATCACGACTAGACGTAACAGACTGGGTTCTGGTGTGATCACGACTAGACGTAGTAACAGACTGGGTTCTGGTGTGATCATTACTAGACATAATAACTCAGACTGGGTTCTGGTGTGATCATTACTAGACATAATAACTCAGACTGGGTTCTGGTGTGATCATTACTAGTCATAATAACTCAGACTGGGTTCTGATGTGATCATTACTAGACATAATAACTCAGACTGGGTTCTGGTGTGATCATTACTAGACATAATAACTCAGACTGGGTTCTGATGTGATCATTACTAGACATAATAACTCAGACTGGGTTCTGGTGTGATCATTACTAGACATAATAACTCAGACTGGGTTCTGATGTGATCATTACTAGACATAATAACTCAGACTGGGTTCTGGTGTGATCATTACTAGACATAATAACTCAGACTGGGTTCTGATGTGATCATGACTAGACCCAACTCAGACTGGGTTCTGATGTGATCATGACCAGACCCAACTCAGACTGGGTTCAGTTACTTTTGTCATTTTCAGAATTATACACTTTTAAGAGGCATGGTGTTAGATTAGCCACTTGTACATTTTGCTTGTTGAGAAACACACAAAATGTGTTACAGGCCACAGTACAACACCGTGAAGATAGGGGTGAGCTGCCTGTGAAGGCAAAGAACAGAACAGCTTGGCTTTATTTGGTTGAGGGCATGTACTCCACTTGAGAGGAAGAACAGAATAAAGGTCTACTGTGTGATATTTCTTAGAGTGGCTTGAAGTAGAACATTTGTGGTAAATTGGGGGAGTATGTGATTTATATATTATTGTATCAACAGTTCAAGCAGATCAGCATGGCCTATGAAGTGCTGTCAGATCCCAAAAAGAGGGAGATATATGATAAAGGTGGCGAGGAAGCTATCAAAGGAGGCGCTGCTGGGGGCGGCTTTGATTTCCATTCTCCTATGGACATCTTTGATCTGTTCTTTGGTGGTGGGGGCAGAAGGGGAGGAGGAGGTCAGAGAGGCCCCCGGAAAGGCAAGGATGTTATTCATCAACTGAAAGTAAGTTTTACAGTTGTTATTCTTTTATTGTTCACTTTTTAATGAGCACAGTAGCTTTGTCGCAGAAATGGCTCTTCTGTGGATACGAGATGAAAAATAAATAAATGGGAGACTTAACCCTTTTAGCACGGGAAGTTTTTCAGAGGTCTAGCCAAAAACACGGAGCATTTTTTCAGTGAATTTGATTATTACTTTATTTAATTTTTTTGACAGATTTCTGTTATTCTGACCCCACATGAAATAATATATCTATTTGAAGGATATAGATTGAAGTTCATGATTTTCACAATATCGTTAAAATTAATTGATGTATATGCAAATTATCTCATTTGCACATCTAAAAATAGAAAATATGAATTTGAATTTTCAACTTCAATGCTTGAAACAAAACTAAAAACATTTTTTTTTATTTGAAATCTTTTTATTGATCTTTGGCCTTTTTGCAAATGTTGTAAGCAATTCAATAGTCAAAAACAGGTATATATATATATATGAAACAGCAATAATATCTTTAGGTGACGTGTTTTTCACGTCAGTCAGCACAAGAAATGGATGTGCCGTAGTGTCAACACCTTCGGGTGGATATACCCTGAGCCATGGTTGGGCTGTGGTCTGAACACAACAGCGTCCTTATCTGATTCCCCACCATTACTACTAACACTAAATCCTGCATCAGTATCAACAGAATTGGTGTCATCACTTGATTCAAATGTTTTATCAACATCAAGTTCAGGGGCAGAAACATACGAGTCAGACATACTTTTAGCGGTTCAGTTCACTATCTAAAAAATTCAACAACGATTTTCACTTCGATACCAAACACTCGAAAGTCGCCATGTGTAAAGCTGATACAGCAATTAATATAAATGAATCACTTTCAGTGTTTCAAAATAGATTTCTTAGCGGTTCGAGGCGAAACACGATCGGGCCGATGATCGGCCTTCTATGTTTTTGGCCAGACATCCGCCGGCCGATAATCGGCCCGTCCGTGCTAAGAGGGTTAAGTAAATCTAGAGAACAGTCAAAAGGGAAATAGTATGTAAACTGAAATAGTATACTATATGCAGACAAACAGCAGAATGGTAACAATGGAGGTCTCCTTATGCATCATCAGTGACAAAGAAAAATAGAGAGTAGCGATGCAATGCTTTTTTTATCTAACCTTTTCACTCTGGAAGCTTTTAAAAAGGCATGCACCTGCCGGACCCCGTCCCCAGAAACTATTTGACGCAAGTTGCTTATAAATTTTAAAAAATATCCAGAACTACGAGTAGCAACATGATTTTAACTACAGCCCATGGGTTTCTGAATAATTCGTAAAATAAACAAACAGGATTTGCGGCAAGGCAGGGTTAACTATCATTTATTTCTTCTGCACTTCTACAGTTTCCACATAATTTTTCACATGCTAGAGGATCTAGATCAGTGTTCTCAACCTTCCTAAAGCGGCAACCTTTTAATACAGATCCTCATGTTGTGGTGACCCCCAACTATAACATTATTTTTGTTGCTACTTCATAACTTCAGTGAATGTTTTCCAATGGTCTTTGGCCACCCCTGTGAAAGGGTCATTTGTGGAGCGTTGGAGCTTCTTTTAATGCATAGCTGACACATGATGCTGTGGCATAATTGATGGACCTAGGATTTGGGGGTGTGTACTGATTGCCAAAGGTCTTATCACAATTTTTGGTAATTGCACCTCTGTAGGATTATGACTTTGATATCTTGTGAAATTTAAATTGTTCATGTTGTTGGCCTGTGGCAGGATTCTTGCATGAGATGCTGTAAAACAGGATTCTTGCATACAATGAGCCATACAATTATCACAGTGCTGGCATCCTAAGTAAGGTACAGGGTATCTTTACATGTACAACGGCCTCCTTATGTCTGTGACCAAATTCAGGCCAGCCTATTTTGGATTAGTACAAAGTGGTCTAATCAGTAAAAAGACACGGTGATGTTGGTTCATAAATGCTTCGTTCATGTGTACAGTCTTGGCATGAGCTTGGCTTTAGTCATCCCTGTTTTCCTCATGAAAAGACAGCACCAGGTGTTGAGAGCGAGAGATACAGCAGTCTTGCTTCTTCAGCTGCTAATCCGTGTCGTCTTTCTATCATTTAGCATCCTCTTGTCGTGACACCTGAATTGCCAGTTCTCCAGTCCTGTGTGCTTTCATGCCCTATTCATCTTTAATGTCTCGTATCCACATTTATTTTAGGCACGAGGAAGTGTGTTCCATCATTTCTGTTTATGATGGCTCTACTTCATGCATTACTAGAAAAAAATGTTGCTGTAGTCATGACTTTTTCCCTCAAGATTTCTGCGGTGAGAGGGCTAAGCATACACTGCAACAGTTTTTTTAAAGCAGTAAATGTTGGAAAATGTGTTAAATTGGAAGAAGGATGTGAACTTAAGATACTACTTATATTTTATGTACGAACCATAGTATGAATGTTTTATCTGTTCATTGTGGGTTTATGAATGGTTTTGTTTCACAACAGGTTTCACTGGAAGATCTGTACAATGGTGCCACTAGGAAACTGGCTGTGCACAAAAATGTTATATGTAACAAATGTGAAGGTAAGTCTGTATGAGAAAATATGTTTTTAAAGCTGTTGAAAAATGTCCACCTCAGAACAGATGCAAATTGTAAACTGATTATCCCTGTGTAGACCTCATATATCTCAGGTTCTTCACGGGAACTGAATGCCAGAGGCAGCTCTGTGGGCTTCTAACTTTGATATCCTCATAAGAAAGTTAAATATATATATAACTTTAAAAAAAAAAAATATTGTTGTGGTTGGGGAGATGGACCTACTACCCTCTGACAAGCATGACATAAAAGTGGATTCCCGTCAAAGTCTGAGTGCATCTGCCTTTGAGTTAAGGAACCAACAGTCTGCTTACAGATAAACAAGAGCTGCAAAATGGATGACGTGCACACAAAACAAGTTTTGGAACTGAATCATAGTCCAGATGTTGGTGAACAACTAGAACTTTCTACTGAAGTTTACAGTCGGTGGATACAAGAAGTAGACTGGTTAAGGGAATTGTAGACAGTCTTATGAGTTTTTGGGCATGTTGTGAGGAGGAGCAAACTCAAGACCTTGGTAATAACTGGCAGAATAACGGAGTGCAAGCCAGGGGAAGGTTGAGGAATAAAAGACCTGGACAGCTTTATCACATGGACAGGGGGTCAGTTATCACATGGAGGGGGGGGGGGGTCAGATGAGAGCTGTGACTGGTTCTGGTAGACTACCTGCACTTATTGGCATAGCACATGATGATTGAGGGGGGTAGGGTTGTTTTTAACAAACATGCTGTGAAAGGCAGGGTAGTGCAGGCTAGCTGAAAACCCCAGTACAACTTGCCCACCACTCACCCTTGAGATGACAAGCACAAACCCTATTTGTTTTTCTTTTGTGGAATTTTTAAAAAAAATGTTCGTTTAAAAAAAAAAATTAAATGTTTAGTGAGTTTTTCGATTAAGAATTTTATTTTAAATGTCTCTACAAGGAAGGGGAGGCAAGGAGGGAGCTGTACAGAAGTGTGGCAACTGCCGAGGCACGGGGATGCAGGTTCGCATCCAGCAGCTGGGGCCAGGCATGGTGCAGCAGATTCAGTCGGTGTGTGGCGAGTGTAGGGGAGCGGGAGAGGTGATTGACCCAAAGCTCAGGTGCAAAAACTGCAATGGAAAGAAGATTGTAAAAGAAAGGAAAATTTTGGAAGTTCACATAGACAAAGGTGAGTATTTTGAAAATTATTCTCCTCACTTCTCATCCTTCCCCTCTTTATTTGTCTCTCTACATTACTCTCTTTCGTCCGCCACTTCTTTAAAAAAAAAGTCTTCTCTGTCATCTTTAGTTATCTTTTTGTCTACCCAGTCTCCTGGCTTCTTCCAGTTCTTCCTTTCTCTCTTTCTATCTCTCTCTCTTTCTATCTCTCTCTCTTTCTCTTTGGTTCCAGTAAGAGCATTTGGCTGATTCAAGCATATTTATAATATATATAAGAATTATGTTCTAGAAAAAGTACTATTTTCACTTTCGCTGCCGTCTTTTTAAGTGTCAATTATCCAGTTATCTTTTTCACAAAAAGGCAAGGATCGTAAGTATGGTTAGATATGCTAAACAAAGAAGGTTCTAAATTGAATGGAAACCTAATTCTGGGCCATAATAACAGTAATTGTTGTCAGCACCCTGACCGATTCAGGAATTGATAAAATACTAATATAAATGTGTGTGTGTTGACAGGGATGCGAGATAACCAGCAGATTCGCTTCTCTGGTGAAGGTGACCAAGAACCAGACCTGGAACCTGGAGATATTGTGATTGTTTTGGATGAGCAAGATCATGAGCGGTTCCGCCGCCGAGGCAATGACCTTATCATGACCATGCCGCTGGAGTTGGTGGAGGCACTGTGTGGGTTCCAGAAAACCATCCAGACATTAGATGGCCGTACTTTAGTTGTCACCAGCATGCCAGGTTTGTACATCTGTTTTGTTGAAATGTTTCATGTCAAATAACCCAATGTGTTCTGCGAGTGCCAAACATGGAAAGTACACTATGTCTATAAGGTCATGAACAGTCAAGAAGGGACAGTGTCCAGCATTTCCAGTGTGGGTTCCAAAACCACATTTGTGGGGGGGGGTAGACCTACTGCCACTAACAAGTATGTCAGGAAGAAAAAGACGGCTAATTAGAGGTGTATCCTTTGAAATTGGTGTGCCTCTGCCTGATGGGTTAGGAATCGACAGTCTGCATACAAACAGGTCAGGTCTATAAAACAAATATCTTGCTGAACTCAAGCTTTGGAACAAAAGTTTAGAAGTGGACTAACAGCCAGGACTTTTCTGAACACAACACCGCTAGCATTAGAGAGATGTTTGGACTGACCATACCTGAATTACATTGGAACATAAAAATGGTTTTTCCGTCGCAGCCAGACTTATCTTCATATGGCACCTTAGATAAGTGAGGAAGATCAAGGAAGATGGGGATAGATGATGTAACTGAATTAAGCAAAAAGATTAATTGAAGCAGGTTATTCAATTAGAGACATAGCAGGTCTCTTCTACCTACTATTTCCTAATGCAGCATAAGTCCTCGGCCAACTCATATCATGTTGTTCTATCTTTCACTGTTGAATGCATTTCTCCCCATGTACTCTCCATCTTTTTAACTTCACTTTGCAGCTCCTTTCTCTGTCTGCTTTGGCCTTCCTTTATTTCTGTGTCTGTGGGTTCCACTTCAAGGACATTCTAGTTATATTCTCAAATTTTTCTCAATCTGTGTCCTGTCCAATCCTGTCTTTTTACCCCCATCTCTTGGTCCACTGGAACTTGATTAGTTCTGTCGTCCTAAAACTCTGCATAAGTTATTCAATCGCACCATTTTCTGTATTCTGTGCAGGCACCAGTTAATGAAAGTTTGTAGTTTATATTAGTAATTGTCCTAGTTGCTCTCCATGTTTTCGCTCCATACATAAACACTGATGTGACATTAGAGTCAACATATTTTCAGTTTAGTATTAGTTTTAATTTCTTTTGACCTCCACAAATTTCCTAGTTCTATGAAAGCTCTACTTTTGAATCCATATTTTAATATCTCTATCAGTTTCCCCCATCTTTGTCTACATTACTGCCCAAATAGATGTACGACTGCACATCTTAAAGCGGAATACCATTACAAGAAAATTTACCATTTACCTGATTTTTTTTCTAATAATCTTTGTTTTCCCCTGGTGGATTTTTAGACATAGCTGCCTGATCTTCCATCAAGTTTATTTATCTTGCATCTGATTGGGATTGAAGAGCAGTATCAGCTCAGTCCGGATCATCAAGCTGTTTTTCATGGGTCCATTGAATTTCATTTCTGGTATTAGTAGTTGCTGTCTTCATAATCGAGTCTAATGCCAGTAAAGGCACGGATAATGTCATTTGTATCATATGAATGATCTTTCTATGCCTGTGCTCGGGCTTCTGACCCTTGACCTTCCCCATTTTCAACACTTTGGTTTCTGGGTAAAATTAGTTTTATTAAGCCCTGAGCTACATCATCCCTCACGCCACCCAAGAAGTATGAGACAATGGTCAACGACCTAGCAAGTGTTGTGACAAAAGTAGAAGAAAAAAGAAGCAGAGTTCTTTGTAAAAATGTAGATTTTTTTTAAAAGTCCGTTTCCATGATCCTACTGTTGTCTCTGTCAACAGGGGAGATAATCAAACATGAAGATGTAAAGTGTATCATGGGAGAAGGCATGCCTATCTACCGTGATCCGTTTGAGAAAGGCCGTCTGATTATCCAGTTCCTGGTGAACTTCCCACAGACTGGAGCCTTGACCCCTCAAGCCATTGATGTTCTAGAAAGTATTCTGCCACCCAGACAGGTAAGTCTCCGAGTGTGATAACTGTCAGATTGGCTGGGTCTGGTGCCATCTCTTCACTGTTGTTGCCTTGTTAACAGTAACACACTGCGAGTTCCCCTTGATGTCATTCAGTTAACAGTAACTTTGATGTCATCCAGTTTACAGTAACACACTGCCTCTCCACTGTGATATCATCCAGTTTACAGTAACACACTGTCTCTCCACTGTGATATCATGTTTATAGTAACACACTGTCTCTCCACTGTGATATCATGTTTACTGTAACATACTGTCTCTCCACTGTGATATCATGTTTACAGTAACGCACTGTCTCTCCACTGTGATATCATCCAGTTTACAGTAACACACTGTCTCTCCACTGTGATATCATGTTTACTGTAACATACTGTCTCTCCACTGTGATATCATGTTTACAGTAACACACTGCCTCTCCACTGTGATATCATGTTTACAGTAACACACTGCCTCTCCACTGTGTGATATCATGTTTACAGTAACATACTGTCTCTCCACTGTGATATCATGTTTACAGTAACACACTGTCTCTCTACTGTGATATCATGTTTACAGTAAAACACTGTCTCTCCACTGTGATATCATGTTTACAGTAGCACACTGTCTCTCCACTGTGATATCATGTTTACAGTAACACACTGTCTCTCTACTGTGATATCATGTTTACAGTAACATACTGTCCCTCCACTGTGATATCATGTTTACAGTAACACACTGCCTCTCCACTGTGATATGTTTACAGTAACACACTGTCTCTCCACTGTGATATCATCCAGTTTACAGTAACACTGTCTCTCCACTGTGCTATCAGTTTGCAGTAACACTGTCTCTCTACTGTGCTATCATCCGGTTAACAGCAACACACTGTCTACTATGATATCATCCAGTTAACAGTAACACAATGTCCCCTGTGATGTCATCCAGCTTACTGTAACACACAGTCTGTCAGTCCACTGATGAGATTGTGTGTGTGTATGTAAACAATGTGTCATTCATGGTGTTTTTGTTGACAGTAAGTTTAGTATTTACACTGATGAGATTTTAGTGACAGCAACACACAGTATCTACTAGTCTGTTAAAATGTTAATAAAACAGTAAGAAACTGATTATTTCGTGGTGGATAAATTCTTTACCTTAGGGGACAATTAAAACCAGTAATCTAAATCTTTGTGACTTAGGCATAGCTAATGCACTTTGTAGAGCCAGGCTGGATCCCAACTACAGGCAATGTGGCAGCAGACCATCTTGCGAGTGATTTTAAGAGTTGACCATTCAAAAGCAGTGGCAAACTACTGAATGCAAACATACCTTGAAAAACAAACAAAAACATCCAAAGCAGGATTTCGTTTCTACACGTTCTGTAAAGGATATGCAACTTTTTGAATATCTTTGAGAGGTTAGCGTACAAACCCAGCTTTTGTATTATCCCGTTTTCCTATATTTGCTTTCTAACAACATTACAGAGACCACCTTAAATCTTAGTCTCCTGACTGTATCGTTCATTGATACTATTTTGAGAATCTATAAGAGCAGGTGCTGATAATTTGGCTACATGTGTGTATGTAATCTTGTGTTCACTTTTACCCACAGGAGGTCATTGTGCCAGACGGTGCAGAGGAGTGCCAGTTGCAGGAATACGACCCTGCCAGAGATGGTGCCGATCATCGCCGGGGCCAGGGAATGGAAGCCTACGACTCGGACGATGAACACCCCGGTGGCCAGCGAGTACAGTGTGCATCGCATTAGTCCGGTCCATCTTGTCCATGCGGTTATTTTGTGTAATTACCAGCTTGTTTCACGTTGATTACTTTCTACTTTCCGTTGAGCTTTTGTTCCGGCAAAGACAAAGACTATCTGGGCTGTCATTTATAATTTTCTTCAGTTTTGTGTGTATCGATGTGTTCATTTATGTGGCTGCAGTATTGTTTGATTTGCACGCAGAGGCAAGATAGTGAACAAAATAAACATCATAGATGTGTCCCTGAAATGTAGGTTAGGTATCTGGACTAAAGAGATCCTCAATGGCCAATTTCATTAAATGATTATACAAACTGTTGACAGAAGCTAGGACAAATGGGAGTAATGTAATTCATTTATTGATGGGCCTGGCTGTGAATGAAGGTGCAATTTTTTTTTTCCCTGTAGCTGAAAATGGTTGTAATTTGTCTTTCTGTCTGAAAGACAAGTCAAGGAGGCTCTGCCTAGTTTGTACCCAGTGTCTAAAACTGAAGGTACGGTACACTCGGTGTGGGGTTATTCTGGTGTTTTGAGTGAGAACAGATGTTTAGTTTATCAACAGTGGCCTGGTGTGTGTTCTGGCTGGAATCACCGCCTGTGACCTGGCCGACTTTCATCGATGGATGGTATTGAACAACATAAGGTCAAACCTTTGTCAACACCTTTTTCCCATTTCCTTTCCTTGTCGCTTGGTCAGCTACCATATGTATTTGCATTGTGTATCTAGTTTGATACTTTTGTTTTATATGATGTATATTCAGTTTACTGTTGTGACTGTATACTATTTTTGTTTTGGTTATCACTAAAGTAAAGCTTGAAAGGGGGCATGCCTGTGAAAAAGGCTAAAACTGACTTAGATTATGTAGCCAAGAATTTTATCACTAGAACATGTGAGACAAACTTGAAAACTTGGTGACAACTGGCAGACATGACGGGGAAAATAGCAAGGGGAAGCCAGAAAGATAATACCTAGGTGATGTCAAGAATCGGTGTGGTCAGTGATTCTGGTGATTGTGTTAGATGGTGGTGTATGCCTGTCGTGGCACCATTAGCCTGTGACTGAAGGTTGTACATGTGAACTAGGCTGGGATGAATGTGAATTGTACAGTTCTCTGAGTTGAGTGCCACAGGACAGCGAAGACCAGCATAAATCTGTGAAGACACACAAACTGTTGACAGTCAATGCCCAGAGCTGTTGAGGGTGTAGGTGCTTTATTGATTCCACCTATACAGCTGGAACATTTTCATTTACTCCCCCTTCATGGCTGATACCAGGAAAATTGGTAGTTAAAGCGAACATTTTCAGTGGTAGTCATCCCAGATTCCCCCATAAAACTTTAATTGTCCCATTAAACAGCGTCCCATACAACGGTTGCTGTTGACTCTCTGATAGCCCCTCTGCCTCTAGCAGTGAACTTGATGTTGGTAAGTCTGAGACTCATCCATTCAGCCAAATTCTGTATCCAGTGTTTCTTGGTCTGCCACTGCCAAGTCTTGTGTCATTTTGGAGAGGCCAGTAGATCTAGATTCATATCCATTGCTTATTAAATTGCAGCCATACAAAGTATTATACTGGAGATCCTGCTGCCACACCTAGTATTTACCAACCTGTGCTGGTTGGGTGGTAGCTCCTTCAACTGTGCTACAGCAGATGTCACAGCTTTGAGTATAGGGGCCACTAGTTTTTTGAAACCTTATGAAGATACATACACTAAGTTCAGTGCAAAATATTCTTTTTTTTCTGGCGCAGGGTTGCATTTTACACTGGTTTGGCTGTTAGCTACGGGTACTCCAGTTATACATTTTTTGGGAGGTTGTCCAGTCATCAGTCAATGATTGTGATAATATTTGTTATTAGTTAGTTTATGGACAGATAATCCTCACTGCATATTAGGCTAGTCCATAAACGCTTGGATCCCATCTTCAATGTGAAGCTGGGTAGTTCTGCGTCTCATTTAATCTTTTCATGGTAATTCTGTAAAGGAAAAGGAGGGTATTTTAAGATTTACCCCTTGGCTTACCTTCTAGACTGACAGTTTGTAATTTCAGGGTGATCTAGTCTTTAGGTAGCGCCTTGGAGGGGACAAAATGAATGAAGATGTTTACATTTGCGGACTCATTATATAAATTATTGATAGTATTGAGATAACGTCGTTGAGCATACCTTTTTTTAAATGTTATTTTAACTGTTTGTGAGTATTACAGCGTTTTTTCATAGCTTGTACACACACGACGGGTGTGAGTTTTGCTGAATCTGTTTGTAGCTTGTATATGAACAACGGTGTAATGTTGCATTGTTAAACGATAGAACTGTCTGTACATAAAATGTGGTTGTCATTTTGTCAATACGGTGGCTGTATCTGCAATGGCATTTTGTCCAGTTTACATATGAGAAAATGATTCAGACAAATTGAGAAAGGGAATTAAAGATGTGGTGAATAGACTTTGACTTCTTTGTCTTTCATGTGGGATTGTGGAGGGGTGGGGGGCTTTTATGAATAAGCCATAAGATAAAGGAGTGAAAAGAAAGTGTCAGATGTGTGAAAGGTGAAGTTTGTATTGATATATTCAAGCAATAGAAAGGTTGATATGCTGAGGCTGTCGACACGAAAGGTGGCTTTTTGTGGTGCAGTCAACAAACAAAACAAAAATAAAAGACCACTTTCAATGTGGTTGAAGCGTTCTGTCTGTAGTGTTCTATAATGATCTGTTAAGTATTATTTATTTCTAACATAATTCAGAGCACACCTAGATTTTTTTTTTTAATGTCAAAAGAAGAACCAGAGTAAACCATTTAGTAAAACGTGTTTGGCCCTTTTTTCTGTTGCTGGGCAGTGAGTAATAAAGATACTGGAGATTGTCATCGAAGAAGAAAGCAAATAATGAGGTGTTTGTTACTACAGGTGTTACCAGGGGCCGTGTTAGCGCAGTCGATAGGAGACTCACTTTCAAATCCAGCAGTGACTCGCTGCAGCCACGGTCGGTTCCCGGGGTTTTACCAGCCTCTAGGTAATGGGTATCAGAGTTAACACTCTGGGGTAAATTGAGGAACGTCTCTGCAGCTACAGAGTTGCGTGCAGATGGCAACACAGGCGGATAGTTTCTTATCAGCTGTCAGTACTGGTGGCAGAGCACTTATGGTTTAGAACTGCTATGACGCTGGTTTACATCTTCCAGCTTTTTTCTTTTTTTTAGGTTTTACAAGATCACCCAGAAAAGGACCTTCATTTTCACTGGCTGTAAACTTTGGAAAGTTCAGGGGCTTCAAAGGAAGCACCCATAATTAGTCACTTTTACAACATGTGGGGGGGGGGGCTGCTCTTGTTTGCCCATCCCTAACCAAATCTTGAAAGGGTTCCCTGAAAGTTCATAGGACATTTCAACAGAAGTACAAGGTCTGACAATTAAGTAATGAGACTAAATCCATACAAATTGAAATAATAAATAGTTGAATATATAACGTGTATTTTATTCACAGTAAGCCACTTGTGTATTGATACAGCTTGTGGCACGATCTAACAAACACTTGAAAGACTTCTATAGTTCTTCTTTTGTTATGGCCCTTTGGATGTCATCTGTATCATCAAAGAAGCGTCCTTTCAATGGTAACATTAATTTTGGGACAAGAAAATAGTAAAAGGGAGACAAATCTGGGGAATAGGGTGGATAGTTAAGAACATACACTTGTTTTCTTCTGCCTTTATACCCCCCAATGGAGCATAGGCCCTCAACCAACTCACGCCAAGTTGTTCTATCCTTTACCATTACATGAAGCTCTCCACATGTCCTCCTTATCTTTCTAACTTCATTCTCCAGCTCTCTTCTCCATGTATTTTTTGGCCTTCTTTATTCATATGCCCCTGTGGGTTCCAGTGCAAAGCCATTCTAGTTATGTTGTTTTCTGTTCTTCTTCTTTCGTTCGCATGAAATAAATTATCTGTATCTGCAATGCTGTCTCTAGTATGAATTTTACTGTCTTTTGTAATTCACTAAGCGGCCCATAAAGTTAGGCTTCCACAAGTGTCTCTTTTAGCCAAAGGTTTTGCCTGAAAGCGCTGAATCTGTGACAGTCTTGAAGGATGTGATCTGTTGTTTCAGGTGCCAGTCCACAAATACACATGGCTGATTGGCCAATCTTAAATTTGTTGCACATGTGGCAGCGAAGTCGATTATGCCCCCTTCTAAGGCGAAGGATAATGACTTGCTCTGGTCTGTCCATAATATGGTAATCGTCTTGTGCTAGTTTCGGTTGCATTCTGATTGATTTGATCATTCTCTTCTTCTGTTGATAAGAGACTGGTATGTCAGGCTGTTCTTCAGTTGCACCTTCCTTAGCTAGTTTATCAGCTCTTTCGTTTCCGGGAACTCCACAGTGGGAAGGTATCCACTGCATTACTAAATTACAACGGTTGCCTAGTTCAGATAATAGTGTCCATATTGTTTTCAGTTCTCTCTGTGTGTGTCCTATCCAATGCCAGCGTCTTTTCCTCACCTCTTGGTCCACTGGAGCTTGTTTAGTTCTCTTCCAAAGCACATTTGTTTTGGGGCCAAAAATTCCTTTACAGCTACCACCTGCTGAGGCGGTGCATTGTCACGAAGAAGGAAAAAACTTCCAGGTGTTGCATACTCAGGTCCGACTCCTTTTCAACAGATGTTTAAAAATACTTTAAAAAACTGGCTGTGACAGTCTGTCGTCCCTTTAGATTATATTCTTTGTGAAAACCTTTGCGGTCATCGAAGCACACTAACATTGTCTTCACTTTCGAAGATTCTTTTGCCTTTTAATGATGATGATGACTTCCACTGACCACTTTCAGTTTAGTTGTGGGATCATAGCGGAAAATCCATGTTTCATCCTCTGCAACAATCATATTTATTTGTGAAATTTGTGTTTTCATGATGTCTTTTGCGTACTCAACATGTTGATGTTTTTGGTCATCAGTTTATGAATGTGGTACAAACCGGGGGGGGGGGGGGTGTTTACGGATGGCCTCTCTATTAACACCAAA